ATCAATCAATGCACTATTTATTCGTGGAGGAGTACAAAATCCTTCCCTCTGGATATATTTATGAGTAGCTGACCGAACGATTCCAAGTTTTTCTGAGCGGGGGGGGAGTTTCCTGATAGGATTATTCCTCGAAAATGAGTGGAGTGTTCGTCCTGCCTATAGATATATTATAGTTTCTCGCTGAGCTAGTGACCAAGAAATCCAGTCAAACAAACCTGTACAAATTCCTTCGAGGCTCCTTATCATTCTCGTGTGTTCCAAACATTGCCATTACCTTGTGTTCCTATCATACATCCTGGTCCATCAGCCAACCGTTCAACTAACTGTATTTATCTCTCCAACTGCCTGGCATGTCTCCCCTATTACCCACCGCCCACTACCTATCCAATTTACTTCAATGCCCTACTGCCGTTCCTGCGCTTAGTGAGTAGTCGCGAGTGGCCTATATCGGTACACGTATTCCAATTCACTTTTCCTCGAAGCGCCTATCGACTAACTAGTTAAATCCCCCAACATCCGGAAAAAAAAAAACAAAGCCGCGAAGAGGCATTCCAGAACGATGTCACTTGTAGAGAATAGTCAACATACTTAGAGCGTGACGGATTGGATGGCTGTCACGACTACCCTGAGGTTAACCTATGGAGTAGAGGGTACAAATCAAACCTGCTAATACTAGTGGGCAACTGAAAAAGGATTTCGGAGTTGGGGAAGGTGTAAGAGGCCAGTGACTCGGGTGATTGCTCAGCTTGTGCATGGCATCGCGAACCGTCGAAAGGGAGGGAAATCGGTGATTATATGTGAAAGCGGGGGACCATGTATAGTATGGGGGACGGCCGGAGACTGCCGTTGATATAATTCCAGCTGACTGGATCTTTATACAGTACCCGCTTTGGGAAATCTCTTGGGTCCTGCCGGCAATAAATGTGGCGGTTGTAAAGGTAAGAAACAGAGCATAGTTTAAAAACTAAAGTAAGAAGCTCACCTACCTCTATGTTGATATCTCAGGAATATATTCGAAAGTTCACAATGTAACAATTCCCATTTTTGTAACCTAGATTGGCATTCTTTGCTTGTTACTTTTTTTTTCTTCTCTTTTTCCAGTCCCGGTGCTGTCAAATCTCCATTCCCAACAAACTATATACCAATTCCTACCGAGCAGTATAAATAAATAACCCATACTCAAGATGGGCACTTATATTGGTGGCGAAGTTACTTTTGTCCTGCTATCCTATCTCTCCCTCGAGATCTAAAAGTGTTTCGTGGTGCATTAGGGAGGTTTTGTTACGACGGTCGTCGCTGGAACTGTCCTTATCACTACAGCAACGGCACTAACCTTTCCAAATGCGCAATAGTGCTCAGTGGCTCAGTTTTGCACAGTCTTAAGAACAGTTCTTAAATAAGACGGTCGTCGAGGGGTTGTGTTGACACCTTTGTTTACAGTACTCGAGTAGTTTGCACTAAATTGAACACCAGGAGAAAAATTTTCAACACACACCAATCCTCACACCACACTCAGCCAAATTTGTGCGTTCACAAGTTTAGGCAACATGTAGTTTGTGGCAAAACAAGTATAGTCCATCTACAGTACGACCATCGTAGCAAAATGACAGAAAAGAATGAGCCCTTGCCACACTGAATTTTGCCAAGATTTAAGCACAGTTTTAGCGACGACCGTCGTAACAAAACCTCCCTATTAGGACAAGGTTTCCCTACGAAACGAGCCCCCAGTCTAGCGCGCATTCCAGACCTGTAGTCCCCTTTATCTTCACCAGTAACCGCCGATCAGAGCGCCTTGAGGTGTTTCGCTATCACGATTGGTAACGCTGCTGACTCTTCTCCTAGATTAAGGGCTCGGCCATGTGCTTGGGGTTCATTCATCCGTCGGAAGGAAGTTGGAGGAAAATGTTGGAAGACGTGAAGTGCTGGTGGGCATGCACGCTATCGTTTATGCTATTGTTATCGTTATCGGCCATCGTCGCCAGCTGTTGCCGAAAAGAAGTCGCTTTGTTACTGGGAGTACCGGACGGATAGTGGGGGTGTCAGGAGGAAGTCAGAAAGAAGGACGCTGTTGTGAGTAAGCTGGCTCTATTGTGAGGTAGCCGGGAGTGTCAGGAGGAAGGTAGAAGGGCCGGATGCGTGGAACCGGTGGAGTTCTTTCTGTGGTCTGTATTTTTCTTACCAGCACGGGAGTATGCGAGAGAGAGAGAGAGAATGGATGTGTGGAAGGATAGGAGGGTGTCTTTATTATGTTTTATATACTCCTGTCTTAACCATTGGTTTGGTTAAAGTGCGCAAATTGAGATCATTCTACCTCACCCACAGTCTTACCTCCAGATCACCATATTTTGTCCATCCCGTTACGGGCTCCGCCGGAGTCATATTGTCATTGCTAGATCCCCACTGTTGAAAGTAAAGAGGGCGTGGGAGGGAAGCTGTAGGAGGAAGCTCAGAGCGTAGGATGTGTGGAGGCTATCAACAGCGGGTGCTCTTTGTAAAGCATTTCTTTCTTTTGTTATCTTTTAAACAGCAACGGCTTGAGCAACAAATTATGGCCAAGATTCTGGGCACGATAGAATGGCAGCGGTTGCACACAACATATGGCGATCGCACAACAAGACTTTTAAGTGAGGAAGGGAGATATTTGCTTCGCACTGGGTAACTAACGGAAAAGACAGGAGTATATAAGAAACAAAACATCACTCTCCAATCCTTCTACCCGTCACTACATATATCCATTCTTTTCCCATCCTCTCTCTCCAATACCCCCAAGCTGACCAAAGAAAGACAAGATTCCCAAAGAGCTCCCACTGCTTCCCAGCCTCCGTACACCCTACACTTCCAGCCTCCTTCCTTCCAATGGTTTCTATGGTTTCCAGCGACGAACAATGACAATGGATAACACAGACTTCTTTCCCATGCTCGTAGCTTCCACCTAATGTGCGTACTTTCGAACGACGATGAACTCCTTCCGACGCATGTGGGTGACAACCCTTTGGCTTTCCAGTGACGACCATCCGGTGACGTAGTTCCAGCAGCTGCGGAGAACGACGATGGAGAATGATAGTGATAGCAAGCATACCGTGCAGTTGTGACTTCCAACATTAACATGGTAATATGAAAGCAGAAGGAGACACCTGGCAGAGAATGGATCTGTGTGGTGATAGTGAGAAAGATCGGAGGCTGGCCTAGCTGTGCTTCAGATCTCCTGCCATTCACGTTATTTAGCTAGGTTGTAGGAAAGGAGAACTTGACCACTCACCGAAAGTCATACTATACGATCGAAGCCATATCTTGTGCCATGCACCTGTCGCTATTTAAAACGTTTGAGGCATCCGGCGGACAGATGCTAGGAGGTACCCAACCCCCGTTACCCAGGGCGAACCATGCCCCGGACCTCCTACACTCCCCTAATCTCTATCGAGTTAAAACAGGGTCGAAAGAGTACCAGTGGATTCTGTCAACTATGACAGTTAATGTTTACATGCATATAAAACTGCTTGCATGGTTTTTACAATGTGTTTGACAGGATAGTTTGGGTCTGGAAGTTTCTTATTGTGCCCGGGTCATTGGGTAGCGGGAGATCGCTTCTGGTTCATGATAATTTCCCTTCTTGGACGACAATATCTCCAAGTTGTTGATAGTCGGTACTCGTAGGATTCTATCGTCATCTTGTTCAAGCACCTTTGGGCACCCCGTACTTTCCTTGGTATGATATCTACCGTAGTATAAAGAACTCACATTGGCAAAAAATAAGGGAAAATAATATCTAAAGAGTTGGTCAAAATACCCGGCACTTTCACTGTGGACAAGCATCCCTCAATCCTACTAAAAACATTCTCAATAGTCGCCACTCGGCAGCTGTAATTCGATGTTCTTGCTACTTTCGCGTGATCCCTGCATTTTCTTGGCTAATATACGGAGCTCCACACGCTAGCAGAAGCTGGCAGCCCACTCCGGTCACGGGAATTCTAGCCAAACTGCCTACCAAATGGATTAATTGGGCGGCATTTGTCCTTGCCGCACCTCGTTCTGATCACGGTCATGTCCTGTCTGATTTTCTTTGTAATCTTTCTTCCGCCTGCCACTTCGTCCCCTATGATTCATCCGACCTTCCTTGCTCTTGTAGCACAATGGCCAGGTTGTTGGCAATTATTAGGGTGTTGGGATGATCGGGCCCAAGGGCCTTTTGATACTCATCCAGTGTGCGCCGGAGGATCGTCTCTGATTCCGCGTACTTTCCTTGGTGTTGCAGCGCGGTGGCCAGGTTGTTGGCACTCGTTAGGGTGGCGGGG